CTTATAAATGGTATTACAACAGGAAATGGGTCTGTAATCATTAAGGGAGGAAAGGTTTTGGCATTTTGGGACAAGGGAGATGTAGGTGCAGTTTGCTTCACTTAGGAGTTTTCCATTTCTAAAAAATTCAGAAATAGCTTTGATTGTTGATCTACCTATAATGGGCCATGCTTTATGGAAAAATATAGCATTGTAGCCATCTGGCTCAGGGGTTTTATCCTTGTTGAGTGACATCATGCAGTTTTGAATTTCATGGTATGATGGTATTGAGTCCAAGATGCTATGAAAGTGGATAGGGACAGCCTTGGTGATAAATATTAAGAGTTCAGCCTAGGAATGGGTGATAGGTGGAGCTGTGCCAAATAAAGACTGAAAATGTGATAAAAATCTCCTCTTTAATAGCCTCTGCATCATTTATTTGAACTCCATCAGCATTGGACAGGCTAAGAATCTTTTTCCTATTGGCTCTAGAGATAATAGACTTATGGAAGTAGGATGAGTTATTGTCACCAAGTTTGAGCCAAATCATTCTAGATTTCTGCCGAGCATGTTTTCCTGTACTCCTGCAAGCCTCATGTACTCCTTTGTGAGACAAAGGTCTAGTAATCTAAGATGAATGTCACTGGGATTGTGATCAAGGTCAAGTTGGCATTTGTCAAGTTCCCATTTCACTGCTTGCATCTTTGAAACCACTTCAGAGAAATTATTTCTATATTTGGACTTGAGGATGTGCTTGAGTTTTTTTAACCTCTGAACAGCCTGAAACATAGTAGTACCTGCAATGTAATAGCTCCAGGTACATTGGATAGGGGGGAAGAAATTGGGGATGAGTACACCATGCATTGAAGAACTTAAAAGGTAAACACTTTTTGGGAGAGTTAGTATTAATTGTAACCAAGATGGGGCTGCAGTCAGACACTCCAAGGGGAAGGAAGGTGCATTCAGAGCTAGGAAGTGTAGCAAACCAGCGATAATTGATGAGGGCTCTATCAAGTTTTTTTACAATGCAAGCATTACCCAAGCTCTTATTATTCCATGTGAAGAGAATTCCAATGAATTTGAGATCCTTAAGCTCAGCTTGTTAGAGACGTTCACAGAAATCATTGATTGCTGGACATCCTCTAGTGGAACCACCATTTTTCTCACCAGATTTGGAGATGATGTTAAAATCTCCCATCAAAATCCAAGGGTTATTGCAAACAAGTTTGGAGTGGCTTATGATATCATTCCAAAGGGAGAGTCTTTCCACAGCAGAATTAGAAGCATAGACAAATGAGGTATAAAAGGTAATATTCTGCCCAATGATAGTGATATAACAATGTATTGCCTGCCTAGTAGTGCTAATGACATTGAGATCAATGGTGTTAGGGTTCCACATTATCCAGATTCTGCCAAGCTAGGAGAAGGAGTAATTATGGATTAAAGGCCAGTGAGCTGCAATTCTACTATGGACAACAGCAGTATTTGTGGGGGAGATCTTAGTCTCAATGATTGAGATAATATCCAATCTTTTCTCATAAATTAATTTCCTGATTTTAGACTGTTTAGAGGGCATATTTAGCCCTCTTATGTTCCATGCTAGGATGGAAATCATTTATAAAGGAATTTGGAAGAAATTCTGGGATACCTGAGATCCTTGGGAGGATCATGAGGTATCATGCCTGGGCTGCAGCTTTGACATCTTCTGGCTAACTTCTTCATGCTTCTTACTGTATATTTCTTACTAGGAGAGGTGGAAGGAGAGTGGAGATAAGCAGGACACTCTTTTGGGACCGAGCTAATATGCAATGGATCATTAACTGGTGGGGAGGGTTGTATAGATTGGATTGTCGATGAGGAGGGTTGGTTTGGATTAGGACTGTTATAGTTTGAATAGCATAATCTCTTGCAACATAGAGGGCAGGGGTTGACCTCCTCACAGTCTTGTGGGAGGTAAGAACCTGATGGGATATGAAACTTTGGAGAAGACCTGCTAACAAGAGTTTTCAAGGAGGTGGAGTGGCGTGGTGGAAAAGCTAGAAATGATGGAGATACATGTGAAGATGGTGAAGTGGATTCATGGGTGGAGTTAAGAAAGGGGAGAATTGGTTGGTGGTTTTTATAAAAGTGGTCTTCTTGGGAGAGGCTTCACCTCTAGTGATCTGTCTTCTTTTCTTTCTAATGGTGATCCAATCATTGGACTGACAGTTTGCTGCTGTACTATTGTCCTTCAAAGGGGTGTGAACAGTGACATTCATGGGACAACAGAGTTCAGTGTGGTTAAGCTTATTGCATTTACTACGGATTTTGGGAAGCCACTGGTATTCAATGGTGATTCTCTCCATGCACCATAATGGACCTCATTAAGGAGGGGTTTTGTGAGGTCAATCTTAACACAGATTCTGGCAAACTTTAGTTTGGTTCTCCTTTTAGTGGCTTTGTCTGCATATAGGGGAACCCCTACTGAGCTTGCAATATGGCTGAGGCCTGTTGCAGTCCAATAATTGAAAGGAATATTGAAGAATTTAACCCATGTTGGGATTATTGAGCTGTTGCTTAGTTAAGATGGGGATTGTGTGTTCTATTTCTTCAGGGAGAAGGGATGGCCAGCAATGGACCATAAGCCATTTGATAAGACATTTTCAGCCTCATGTGTGGTATGAAATCTGAAAATATATGAACCATTTTCACCAATGATCGTATCAGTGAGACCATAAGAGTTCTAAATTTTGGCTGCTGAGGATTGGACTACTTTAAAAGGAAGCCTTTTGTGAGTTGATACACCAATGAGGTGATTTGCTTCCCAAAACTTCCTACCCTCGAGGGCAACTTCCTTTGGAGGTTTAATGATGGGTTTGCTGTGGTTAAAGGATGGCTGAAAGTATTCAAAATTCATCTTGCAAGGGCTATTGGAGACGACATCAGTCCATTTTCTAGCAGCAGTTGGATTGTCACTTGTTTGGTATAAAGGTGGTGGAAGTGGTTGTTGTCTAGTGGGTTTTATGTTAATCCTAGGTAGGTCAACTGGTGGTGGTGATAATAGACCAATGGTAACAGCTGGAAGGTCATCGATGTGCTGGGCTAAAGCTGACAAAGGTAGTGGGTTGGTAGGTGGCGTATTGGGTGAATTTGGTTGGAAGCCTGAATTGGGTTGTAGGTCTATATGTGGGGTTAGGTTAGGTTGAAAGTGATTTAAGTTCTTTCCTATTCTGGCACTGTGTAAGTTGGTTGGTTGTGAAGTATGCAGATGTGATGTCACAATAGCAGTTGATGTAAAATTTGAATTTGAATTTTGACCTGGTCCTCTTGTGGTGGTTTGGTTTTCTCAGCCGGAGGAGGAGGAGGAGGTGGTGAACATGGTGGTTGCTGGTGGAGCTTGTTGATGTTGTTGGATCTGCAATTTGCACTCAGCAAGCTCAGCTCTTAGCTCAGAAATGATTTTTTTGAGCTTGTTGTGCATTTCCAACGCCCTCCCAAGGTTTTCATCCTTCCATTCAAGTTGTTCCTGAAGTCTATCAATTTTATGGGCTGGAGAGCTGTATAAAAGGGGATTAGAGTTCCTTGGTAGGTGAGACTTAGCTGTAGAAGTAGGAGTGGCTTGTTTTTGTGGAATAACATATGGTTGTGGGATGGTTTGCTTAGGAGGTATGGCAGATGGTTGTGGGGTTTTGTTGTTGGGTGAGTCCTGTTTAAGTATCCTTATGGGGTTGACTGTGGAAGGAGGGAAGTGGACATGGGGTTGGCCAGAGAGTGAGGAAGGGATTGGGGGATGGTAGATATGTGTGAGTAGTGCTGTGTTTTGTGGCTTCTTTAAGGTATATTTTGGTGCTGGAGTTTTTTGCTTGGGGATAGTTTTTTGTTGTTTAATGTTAACTGGTTTTGGGTAAGGGATTTGTTTGGTTACTGGTGTTTGTAAGTGGTTTGGAGATGTTTGTTGAATTACATGGAGAGATGGAGATTTAAGGTGGTCGGCAGTGGGTTTTAGGTGAGGTGTTTTAACTGCGATGGGAGAAGCACAGAAAAATTTTGAAAACTTGACTGATTGAGGTACATTGGAGCTGGGATGTGTCGTTGTGAATGGTGGTTTGAGATGGTTCTATATGGGATTAGACACAGAAGGAGGCTTCTGGTAGTTGGTAGACAGTTGGAAGTGTGGAGGGGGTTGGAGAGTATTCTTCTTCTTCTTCATTGGTAGAATTCCGTGTGCTGTTATGTTTAAACAAATAAAATTCAGATTGCTATGGCTCTATTTTGATGGATCTTTTGATGGCTAAAGGAAAATTTTCCTACTCCAGTACTTCTTACAGTGCCAGAATGCCTTCAATCCATCTCTGTCATAACATGGAACGAACAAACTTGAATTTCGGAATCTCGAATCTTTATAAAGAGGGAGTGGTTTGAACTGTTCTTTCTTTATCGATCCCTTAAATGAGTGGTTAAAGTTAAAGCGAAAATTACATATACTGAATTTATTGAATCATTTTTATAGCTAATGTTTATTATTATTATTATATCTTTATCTTTATTTACTGAGGTGAGATAAGGTTATTACTTACGTACTAAGCATGTGATCTTGCCAAGCTCACTCCATTTTTAATATTCGCAGATGGTGGTAGATTAGAGCAACTCAGAATTGTTATCTATTTTTAATTAAATTATGAAAGATTTGTGGTAAGAACTCAATGTAATTTCATGTTGACTTGATGATGGAATATTATACGAAGAAGTGATTTATAGGATACACTCATATTTGAGTATTATTTTGAAATATATTCGCATTAAAATTTTTGTGTGTCAAATTACTTCTTGTATTCCAAATTTGTCTTATGTCAAACTCGTTTGAAAATGAATTACTGCTACTTTAGATTGAAACACAACTATATCATGATGTTGGTAGGTAATTACTAATTAAGTTAAATAGAGCTCTTGATGTGAAAGTTACACAAAAGAAGTAATTCTAATTAAGTAAAATATTCAAGTCATAAGAGCTTTGATCAAATACAAAGAAACCCACCCACAAATATCTTCCTTTCCAATGTCCCCATCCAATAAATATAATCCCTATATAAAACATGACATTTAATTAAGTTGGAACCTCACGATAAGTGTATAATTGATCATTCATTCAAATCCGATTTATTGTGTTTTTTATTTTGTGCAACTGCAGGAACTGTGGTTGCTAGGCATTGGTCCTCGTTGTTCTCCTCTCTCTTTGGTGGAGGTGTGGGATCAATAGCAACTGTGATTGGACTCCTGACATTATGTACACCATCTGACCATAATAATTCTCCAAATGCATACCCTTTTGAAACACCAATTCTTTTAGCTTTCAAAGTCACGTAAAAGGTTTTCTTTTCACCTGGCCTCTTAAATTTCAAAATATTGGGTTCAACAGTAACTGAAAATCCCGGTGGTGAACGAACACGAGCTGTGTAAGTGCTGGTTGAGCCAACATTCTTCACTGTTCGAGTCACGGTGGTTGGGCGGGAGAGTTTAGGGACAGTTATTGAAGGGTAATTAAGGTTCAAGATACTTAGCGGATTGGTCGAATTGGGACATACATGACTCCTAGAAAAGAGTCGGACAACAGTTTTATTATAGCCTATTGCACAGAGGAAGTCTTTGTAATCCTTAACTTTTATGTCATAGATCAATCCAGGATCTGCTGCAAGATTTGGCCGTATATGCCCAGCACCGTAATCAAATGGTGTTGCCTTGGCAAAAGTTCCATTGTTTGATCGATTTAGCATTGGATGGCGGGTGTTATCTCTTGTTCTTGCTGAACACAAAATTATACAAACAGAATAAGTTTAACACAAATGTGGTCCAACAACTAACTGATAGAACAATTTTACTAGTACAAGTATTACCAGTTGTCATGATTGCAGATCTAATGGATGCAGGACTCCAATCTGGGTGAACTGCCTTGAGAAGACCTACAATTCCGGCTACGTGAGGACAGGACATGGATGTTCCACTCATATGGATAAAGGATGTCCTGCGTTGATCGTAATCTTTATAAGTAGGGCTGGTAGCTCCAGTGTAGGCAGCTATGACATGTACTCCGGGTGCAGTAATATCAGGCTGAGTTCATCAATCCAATAAAAATGGGTATTATACTTCATTAAAAATATAAATAGAAAAAAAATAGTAATAAAACGTTAATGAGTTCCTTGGCCAAACCTTGAGGATTCCTGGTGTTAGTATGTTTGGACCCCTAGAGGAGAAATCAGGCATGAGTGGAGCAGGCTTTGTGTGCAGTTCTTCCATTGGCTTAATCATAGCGAGTGGATTACTGTTGAAATTTTTGTAATGAGTATAAGAAAATTGATAAAATTAGATGTATACACGATGTGAAAGATGACAGAGAGAAAGATACTTGGTAGAATTGATGTAGGAAAGAAGAACAAGACAATCTGTGTAATTGATATGTGATGCTGCCAAAACATGAATGTCGTCAGAACCATTTTCAATGCCAGTCGTCTTATTTTCACAATGAATCATCCCCACGGCACCAGCCAAAGCAGCTCGTTGTCCTTGGTCAATTTTTTCAGAATCCTCTCCAACAAGACAAACCAAGATCTTACCCTTTACCTTCTGGGGGTCGAGCGTTCCTTCCTGACAGAGTAAACTACATAAAACAAGCAAATTAGACGCGTCATGTAACAAATCAAAAAGTGAAGATTTGAATAAGGTTGCTCTTACGCGTCTGTTGTAAGCGCATTGGCATTTTTTGCTTGTGCACCGGTAATAAGTGGGTAGAATCTATCTTCTGGAAATGGCTTGGAGCTAGTATCTTTTCCCTAGAATCATATATTAGATAATTATTAGAATCTCAAACAAATATATGACATATAATGAAGGCAAAAATTATGATAGAATTCAGATTGTGGATAGAACCTTGAGGCGCATTCCATTATTAAGGTCAACGTAAGCACCAAGCTCACGATCCATGGTGCTCGCTCCAACAGTTATTATCCATGGTGAAACATTGTTGACAGTACCAGCCGCCGGTCCTTCATTCCCAGCGGAGGCCACCACGACAATGCCATGCTTAGCAGCATGGAACGACCCGATTGAAATACCATCATTGAAATAGTCATGGGGAACATCGAAACCAAGAGAAACTGAAAGCACATCGACGCCATCATGTATGGCTTGATCGAAGGCTTTGAGGATGTCAGCCTCAAAGCATTCTCCCTTACTTGGCGGCCAGCACGCCTTATAAGCAGCCACTCTAGCTCTAGGTGCACCACCTTTTGCGGTTCCATTGCCAATGCCAAACACACTTGCTCTTGGGACAAAGTTCCCACCTGCTGTTGATAGTGTGTGAGTTCCGTGGCCGTTATAGTCTCGCGCAGAGAAATTGGAATGGTCTTTAATGTTACATGTGGAAGTAAATCCTTTGTAGAAGTACCTAACTCCGATTAGTTTCCTGAAAATTTTAATTGTTATATATTAGTAAGAAGTTTACCGTTATTTTTTTGTTTTCCTAAAAATAAATAAATAAATAATCTACCAGGACATAAATAACTGAACAAATCAAGCGAATTTAAGTTAAATAAGAGCATTAAACAAGTCCTGTCATATATTGTTCTTGCTAGAAGAAGTCTCTCTTTATTTATATCTTAGGTCCTTTCTCAATCGTTGAAAAATTCAGTCATTAATATTTATCAAGTCTGGACTTGGTGAGAATTTGAGATATATAGTTAGGACTATGGAGAATCAATATCTAGATTGGACTTTCAACAAACTAACTACTTCCACTTCGAAAAATCCATCAATAAATGACAAACTCCATTATACAGATGATCTCGTCCGTTGGTCGGCCAGAAATTTGGCAAAGGCAGTAATCTCGTCCGTTGGTCGGCAAAGGCAGTAATCTCGTCCGTTGGTCGGCCAGAAATTTGGCTAGCTCTCGTCCATTACGGACTTTTGTGGCTTATATAGCAGCTCGAACTCCATTAGGGCCAAGACCATTTTTGGAGACTTCTGTCATTTTTTTCAGTAAATCAAAGGAAAGAGAGAGAGGATTGTACAAAAGTGGGGGAGGAAAACCTCGAACAAGCCCGAAGGCAACAACCATGACCCTCTCCCACTGTCAAAATAAGACCATCACCTACTATTTGAAACAATGGAGGAAGGGGCAAGTATGAGATGTAAAATTGTAATTGGTACATTTCGGTGATCAAAACAAGTCCAGATCGAATTGTAATTTTTAATTTATTATCGAATCTTGGTTTCAGATGCAGAAATTTCAAGTGAAGCTACTCACGCATTCTCAGTTCGATAATGAACAACAAATAGTTAAGGTAAGTGTTGAGGATCACTTAGAATAGGTTTAAAACTTGGATTAATTTATTTAAGTTTTCCAAACAATTCAACCAGTTGCACTTCACCTTTGAACCGATTGCACTTCTTGAGCAAAAATCAGGAAAACTCCAACCGGTTGCATTGTCGTAAACCAAAAAGGAAAGTTTTTGTTTTAAACGAACTTTTGTTACCTTTTAAATCTGAACTAGTGGGATATTTTAGCATGAAATTTGAGGTTTTTTCTAACCCTACGAGAAATCTTTAATTCTCTATATAAACTCATATTCATCCGGAGCTTCTTGTGACCAAACCAACCATTTCTAGGCATTTTGGGTTCATTTGAGTGCATTTGGGCACCCCACAACCTCCCTAACCATGGGAATTGAATTTAGGACGCATATTTTACTATCTCGCAACTATAATGCGAGCACTCGCACCTCTGTTTTGCTTGCTGGTCTGTTTTGGAACCCGATTTTGTAACAGTCATAACTTACTCAATTTAAATCCAAATGGGGTCATTTTTTAGCCCAAATTGATGCATATTCCGTCAGCTTTCCAATGGTACCTCTTACTTCTCATATTCCAATCCTTCTAAGAGATATTCGTATTTTAGTGAGACTGTGTCAGAAAATCATTTAAACCGGGAGTTCGTATTTGTGGGAAACGGAGTCTATAGCCCTTAGAACCTCCTGGAATGTTATTTAATGATTATAATTAACTGAATCTAGCTCATTGGACTTATTCAAAGTCAAGTCATCCATCTCCCTTGCATGAAATAACCGTTTTACCCCTAGTATAGCCTCGGGTCCGAACAAAGACCCAAATTCATTTTCATTGCCCATTAATGATTCGAATCCTCTGAATTCAGGTCGTTACACAAAAATATCCAAAGCTAAGAATATTAGAAAAATGAATGTGATTGAAAAATATTTTTAAAATTTGCATGTGAGAATAATTTGGATGAAGTAAGAGGATTTAGCATTGTATATGCTTGTTAATACTATGGGACTTGTTCTTATTAGGTCTATCGGTGCAAACTCCCTAACCTAAGTCCTAAGAAGTTTTATGGTCATGGATGTGCCTTGATGACTATCTTATTCCATTGGATCGCATCTTGTAATTTAGGTTTAGACTTTGTCTTTCTGTCTTTAGGATATTTATGAGAATACAATAATCATGTCATTCATTGATTGCACATGGATGAATTTCATTTCTCCTATATTTATTCTATGTTTCTAAATGCAAATTTAGACACATGATTGATTGATGGTTAATATTCTAGATGTATAATTTATATTTTGAAAGACAATTTGCTTTGGTTATTTATTTTTAGAAATGAGTCTTTTAAGTTCATATTTTTAAGTGCATTAGTCCGACTCTAAGAAATTTTTTTCAAAATTATTGAAATTTTGACTAGTTCATATTGCTTGAAAAAGCTATAAAGATTATCGCTTAAAACAAAAGAACTTTAAAAAAATAAAAAGGTTAAATTTTTATCTTTTAAAAAAATAATTGCTGAAAATCTTTGCTATGGAAAATGCTACTTATTGAGATTAGATCGAAATCTCCTATGACTTTGAAGTGGAGTTAATTGAGTAAAAAAAAGATATTGTCAACTCTTTCGAGTGAAAGTCGTCTTACTTAGAAAAATTTGCACAAGCGATTTTATCTTTTTTTTTTTTTACCCAGTATATTTTAGGCAATGAATCAATGGGATTTGATTATATTTTGAAGAAGTTCGATTACTTACACACACATGAATTTGCTAGATAATTTTCTAAATTTTCATAAAAATTACAAATTTAATTTCATGTTTTGATTACATGAATTAGAATGGATTTCATTATGAGATGTATGGTGTCATATGATTTTGCATTCTGAATGCGTTTTAAATCTTTGAGAAATTTTGAACTCCATATGTGCCTTGAATGCATGCTAATTTATTTTTCATACTTTTAGATGTTTATATTTTTCTCAAAAATGAAAAAAAAAATGGAAAAAATAAAAAATCATAGAAATCCTATAAGATTTTGTTTTCTAGGATTTTTAGAGTGTTTTTGTTTTTACATGGTTAGTTTTGTCATTTTGGTATGATGTCTAACTTTTCTATGAGTCTCAGGGGTAGTTTAGTAATTCTGCAAATTTCACTCATTGGAATAGGTTTCACCTTGGTTCCAACCGGTTCGGAAAAGTGCAGAGCGCCTTTTTGAACGCAGAAAAGCAACTGGTTCCATATTTATCTCCAAGTGTCAACGCACGTAAGGTAGTCACTTGCGCGCGCATGAGGGCCATTTGAACACATCTTGGTCGCACGAAAGAGCACCCAAACAACCCTCTTCAACCTCCATTGCTCCAAGTTCGATTTCTTCTAAATTTTTCGAGGTAAACCCATCTCAAACTTCTTTAATCATTATTAAACATAGTTTTGATCTTTGAATCATAGATTGAAACTAAGGTTGAAAAGTTTTTGAAAAATTATGGAGTTTGGGGTTGTATTCGAATTTTGTGGATGATATTTATGGATTTTTTTTTTTTTTTTTTTTTGCATTATCTTGGTGTGTCAACCTTGGCATTTGATTTTTGGGGATTGAATCTACAAGAACAATATATATTCAAGAGGCCCAAAAACTGTGCATAACAGGTGCTCGACAAATTGCCTCGAAGAGTTATTTTTGTGTTTGAGCTATTTTTGGCCAAAATTGCTTCATAACACCAAAAAGGAAGAGAACGAGGGCTGAACCAGTGAGTAACCAAGGTCAAATTACCTTCACACGAGCCATGTTCCATGATGAGAAGTTTTACCAAGCTTTTATGAAACGATGTGTCGAAGACCGTTTTGTGGAGAAAGAAAAGTGGAGATAAATGCATTAAAAGAAAAAGGAAACTTCCCGTTGATCAAGTATATTGAAAAATATGGGTGTCAACCCATTTGCAACTTCGAGAGAGAGTTTATCCCGGATATTGGTTCGATATTTCTATGGGAACATGTTTTGAGTTTTTCTTGGAACAATTAAGTTTCAAAACTCAAGTCTTCGATGTTGAGATCTTCATCGATCCTAATACTTTGGCATCTATTCTCGGGATTCCAAGATATGCAGGCGGGGCCATTCTACTTTACTCATCTCATATTTTGAGACCGAAGATGGAGGTAGTTCTTATATTGCTTTGTATATCGGGATCAGAGTTACATGGCACTTCCATTCCTTCCCAGGATTTCACGGATGATGTGAATCTATTGAACTTATTTGTCGGGCAAACTTGCATCCCCATGGTTATAAGGGCAAGTTGAAGAGAGAGCGGTGTACAATTTTGTATCGAATTGTGAAGAATTCTCCTATTGACTTTCCGAGTACTATCATTCGTATGATGATATTGGAGGTTCGTCATAACCGATCCACCTCTACCTTGCCTTTCCCTCAGATTGCCATAAGGATCATGAAGCACTTCAATGTGCCTTTTCTGGCAAATTTACAAACAGAAGATAGCCCAGGATTTTTTGATGTGAGAGCCATAAACAAGTCCCTTCCATGAAGAAGAACTCAATTATTTCAGCTGGGAGAGCTCAGAGTTCAGAAGCCAGTGCTTCATCATCTTCTTCACTGCCTATTCCTTCATTTGTTAGTTCAGTGCCTGATTCTTCCTAGCCATTGACAGTTGCTCAGTTTAACCAGATTGTGACTTAGGCTTTGACTTACATGAACCAGAAAGCAATGTGAAGGCAGATGAACTTTGAGAAGAGGATAACCAAAAGTATTGATGATGCTTTAGCTAGGATTCCTGGACAGAGTTCTCACTGTGTTCCTGCAGAGGATGTGCATGCTGAGGATGAGGATGATGATGCAAAGCATAATGCTTAAGATGACGTTGGTGATTCTAGATCTGAGGATGCTGACAGAAGTGGAAAAGAAGAGGAGGAAGAAGAGAGTGAAGAGACAGATTATGAGATGGAGAGATGAGAGAGAGTTATAGAGACATTAATGTACATTCTTTTTGGGTCTGTACTGCTTATATTTTGGATAATTTTACTACTTTCTATGCATACTTAGATAGCTGTGCGTTTTTGCTTTGACTATGACATGCTTTATTCATGATCTCTACATTGTCATTTTTTTGCTATCTATGTGCTTATTTGCTTCTCTATTTGAAAATAATCTCCATATTTTCTCCCTCTCTCAATGTTAGACAATTACTTTGTCAATTTCATACAAAAAGGGGCAGAAAAAATATGCATAATTCAGGGGGATATGTATTCATTAAGGGGGAAGTGGAATAATTTATATTGCTTTTGAATATATTTACTGAGCTTTCATAGGTGGCGTTATTTGAGTCTTACGCATATTACAGGTTTATTTCTTGAAGTGACTAAAACTACTTGTGAAGCTACTTCAAAAGATTTTTGGATCCGTTTTTTTATTTTTGGACAACATTATAATTTATCTTTCTTGATTTGGTAGATTATAATTTGTCTAGGTGTTTTGTCACGAAATTGCCAAAGGGGAAAATGGTGAGATGTAAAATTGAAATTGGCATATTTCGGTGATCAAAACAAGTCCGAATTGAGTAGTAATTTTTTTATTTATTATAGAGTCTCGGTTTCGAAAGTGCAAGTTTCAAGTGAAGCTACTCATAACATTCTCAGTTCGATAATGAACAACATATTGTCAAGGTAAGTGTGTGACGATCACTTAGAATAGGTTTAAAAGTTAAAGTTATTTCATCTTTTAACCGGTTGCATTTTCCTGAACCAAAAAGGAAAGTGTGTTTTTTAAACCAACTTTTGTCACCTCTTTAATCAGAATTAGAGGGATGTATTAGAACTCTGAAGTGTTTTCTAACCCAATTAGGACTCTCTAATTCTCTATATAAACTCATAGTCACAAACAATTAATCACGACTTGTGTATTGAAGATTTCAAAACCCTAGAAAGCCTTTTTATGTGAGTTTTTGAGAGTTTAATTATTATTTTTCTATTTTTGAGAGCGCACACCTATTTTTCTAGTTTAAGTATTGAAGGTTGCTTGTTTACTATTCGATCGGGATTAGCGTGATTAAAGATTCCATATCTACCGGTCGTTAAGAAAAATTTTGTTTCAACTTTAGAAATTCAGTTTTTGAAGAAAATGAGGAGAAGATCACACTTCGAGGTATCAAGACGGTCGTGGAGTGTTGGTTGATCTACATGTGATCCTTTTATAGAAATCAAGAGTAAGCATGAGGTCGAGAGCGGTTGGATGGGAGAGTTCCAAAGCCCGGGATTGTCAGCAATTAATTTTTGATAGAACGATAAGGTGTAAGCCTGAGTCAAGGTCAACTCTACTTTGCTTCAAACATAGTGGATCTTTATGCTCAAAGACGGCGCAAGTCCTCAAGGTTTTCCTACAACGATTGGTCTCCTCCACCAATCAGGTTTCCTAGCTAAAAATATGGCGTCGCTCTAAAATCACTTTTTACTTTCAATTTATTTTCGATTTGTGGGTGTTTAATTGCTTTTATTTTGGTAAATTTAAATTAATAAAAAAAATTAGATAAAAGAGCAAATTGAACCTATTCCCCCACCCCCACTCTTATAGATTGACTATCCATATTATATTCCACGATCATTTAGCAAAGTGCAATTCTCAACAATGTACACCAAAACATAAAGGGGAGGCTAAGGATGACGATGAACATCCATCAACATAAAGCTATAGAGGTTCGAGGTAGAGGCGATTCCGCACAGTGCAACTCTCAACAATGTACACCAAAGCATAGAGGGAAGGCTAAGGATGATGATGAACAACCATCAACATAAAGCTATAGAGGTTCGAGGTAGAGGCGATAACTCGAGAGTTCTTGTTGTCAATGAATGTAATGGATAGAAGGCGATTGTGAATGCTATCCTCGACAAATATCTTTACTTGATCAGAAGGGGCAATTTTCCAAGAGAAGCTAAGATTGTTCCTTTCCTTCCAAATGTGATAAATGCATTCAATAATGCATAGTCTGAATGTAGAGTGTTCGGCTCGCGGAGAATCGCTAGTTCCGCTTTCCAGGTGAGTGGAAAGTAAGAGTGGATGTCGGGCGTGTCAGGAACTGCTATTGTTCCAAAGTGGATATCCGAACAACTATCCAGTAGGAAATTACAGGGATCAGACGATTGAATTAAGGACTGGAATTACCACCTTCAAGGGTTCTTTTTGCCTTGAAAAATGACTTTCGGACTGAACTATGGCTAGTGGAAAAGAAAGCGATATTGAAAGTGCAAGACTTCAAAGTAAAGGAATTGAAGTGCAGGATTGGAAAGTAAGAAAGATAAGTGCAGGACTTGAATTAAACATAATAAAATTGCATTACATGAATGTAAAGATATTGAAAGTGCTGTTTTGCTGTGTGATTTGAACAGGGTTTGCAAGTGAACCCTAATTGTTCTATTTATAGAGCTTTCCATGCATGCATTAACTAGGTATGGCAGCTTCAGCAGCTTCCACGTGGATTGACTTCGGACTGCCACGTGTCCCATGATCTTTCAGCCTTCTCTAAATGTTGCCAAGTGTAAACCCATGTTCTCCCATGATCTACAACTGCTATATAGTGGTCTTTGGCGATTAAATGCATGATTGCAAACCTTCTCCCACATTCTGGAACTGCCCAGATGGAAAGTCGATAGTTCCAGCAGCAGTTGTAGCAGCAGTTGAGAACTTCCACCTGGAAGGTCCGGATCTTGCCACATGTCCCATGTCTTCCTTATTCTTCTCATAATGTTGCCACATGTAAGAACATGATGTCCCATGAATTTCAGTTTTGAAGGAGTGGTTTTGGTGGTTCAGTTCCAATTAAAATCTTCTAGCCACGTTCTGGAACTGCCAAATGGAATGGGCCACGATCTCCTAACTGCCCCTAATTTGTAGGTAAACCTGCCACGTGTCCACTTGGAAAGTCATGTCTTTCCAACTACATGTAACTGCCTCCTTCTCTGCCTGCCACATGTCCACTTGGAAATTCATGTCTTTCCAATTGCATGTAATTGCTTACCTCTTTGGCTGACACGTGTCCCACATTTTCCTCATTTTTCTCTGGCAAATGCATTATATTTTCAGCCCACTTTGCTAATTTTTAGCAACCTCCTCACTTAAATAAGGCAAATGGTTGCCTTATTCTTGGAGTGACTCCTACAAACTAAGAGATATTATAGGAGTGGGGAAGTTGTCATTCTTGATGACTAGGTCAAAGGTATACATGGCTTTCTATATGTTTGTCACGTGTCCACTTGGAAAGTCTACGTCTTTCCAACTGCATATCTTGTACCAATTGGCTTCATTTGATGAAGCCACGTGTTACTTCATAATTACACTTTTGCATACCACCATTCCAATTGGAATTGGCTATGACAACCTTTCCAACTGAAAAGTATTTATGGTGTAATCATAGAGGTCTTGATAGATTTTGAATTAGGACACAAATGAAGCCAATCCAATAGGCGAAACCATGCAGGTTATACTCACCACTATAGATTCCACATTTTTGTTGGAAGTGCAGCCAAATTAGAGATAAGTAGTAGTTGAAGAATAAGTAGGAGAAACACTCGTCTTGTCCCTGGGCCATAAACAGACGTACCATGCTCTTCTACCCCCTGACCCTAACATCTCTTGGTCTCATTCTTCATGGAAAATTAAAAGAGAAAATCAACTATTTATTCACAAACTTAAATTTTTTGAAACCGAACAAAAATTTCATTGAATGCCAATTGATCAATTTTGGACCAAAGTTGAGTGTTCAAGTAGTGTTTTGTACATAATGACTGTGTGCTCTAAGTTGTTTTTGTGTTTTCCCTTACTACCAAAGATATAGATATATTCATTCCGAGGAGTTTTATATATGATTCTGCATTTATGTTGATTTAATTTGATATTTATCAATATGACGGGATAGTGAGTTAAATGAAAATGGAACATACTTATTGCAAGAGAATCCACGTTTGGTGTTATTCTGACATATTCCATTCCACCTTGATGGAACCGGTCCATATCCTTCATCATTAAAGCTCTCTGATTCAGGCCAGACGCCTAGCAAAAGTGAAATCACAAGAAATTATGAATTTCAACTTTAAATATCTGAAATTACAAGGATAAAACATAACTAATTTGTAAGCAAAGAATATATAGAGGTCGCTTACCATTATCAATATTTCCTATGATGATATCTTCTCCATAATTGGCTTTCTTCCACAAGGAATTCGAGTCAACAACACCGTTATTATTTTCTAGGGAAAGAAAATTCCACGAATGGGTTGTGTGCAATTTTATCCTTTTATTTAAGAAAACAGACACAACATTTGGATCCCCTGCATAGATATATATTATGAAATGTTCATTTTAGTACACCAAATATTACTGATCAAACATAAAGGAGACAAAGGATTAAGGAAAAGTATTTATCTACAGAAGATTTGGTACTCGAAATATTAGCTGCCTGCTCCTCATCAAGCACTGCAGCAAAGCCGTTGATGTCAGCCTTGTACGAGTAAAATATGGCATCTTTGGCCTCTTTTTTACTGCATGAAACCATACCATGAGCAAAAGAAGACTTGAACAATGTGCTACACGAATTATTTTGCAAAAAGAGAATTCATGAATTGGCTACACGAATTCTCTTTTTTATTATTTTTATATAGAAAGATTTTTTATCTTGTTGACTCGATCCATATATTTAAATAGGTTTAAGAGAATGATGATAATAATGGAAAAGTGGAAAAATTATTAATCATAATAGGTGCCAAATCTTATACCTTCCCAAGAATGATCCAAGGAACTCGTAATGAGAATCTGAGACCTTGCCGAGAGCTGCCTCTGTCATTTTTCTGCCATGTGAATGACCTCCCATGTACACAATGTATGACTATTAAAGAACACCACAGAAGCAAAAATAAATAAATAAATAATTGAGAATAATAAAAGCTAGTCCATTTAGAGGGGAAGAAAAAGGAAATAATTTAAACTACAGATTGTGCTATGACTTGAAGGACATATCTGTAGGATTAAATAATCACTTTGTGGGATGGAAATTTCCGCCATATATGTAGAGAAAAATGTTGTACCTTTTTGGCCGCGAAAGAAGGTGTTGGGGACAGATAGAAAAGAATGAGTGCAAGAAAATTTGGAAGTCTCGAAAACAACAGTTTGCTTTTCATCGTGGCTAAATGCTGTAATCGACAATGATATATATTTTCGTAAGGATTGTGCTTAAAAATTATATATCAACTATTTGCATAGAGAACCAGAAGAGAAGGAGGGCAGCTCTTTTCCCTCCTCTTTTGTCCGGAGGAGGAGGTAAAGAGGAGGATGAGTTTATTTATACAAGAGAATTAAATCTCAAAATTTTTTCTCTAATATAGTAATTCTAAAAATGAATTGACTAAAAGTGTTCATTTACTATTTTAAATTAAAAAGAATCCACTGGGAATTAGGATGGATAAAAATGTATATATATAGACATGTGGATATTGGCCAATATTTAAGAGGAATGCTCAGATATTTGAGCTTCAAAGAGACTTCTTAGTCATCAGTCAAACAGGAATGTTACCGAAATGAATGTCTACTATACCACACAACATAATCAAGGATATGTAATCCTTTGCAAACAGAGAATTTTGATCTACCAAAAATAGTACCCTTTCGGGTAAGTCTCATCATTGGAGCCGCTAGGCAAGAAAAATTCTGCACACGCCTCCGTATTCCGTAATATCCCGCCAAACCTAGAAAGCTCCAGATCTCAAGCACATTCCATGGACTCCCCCAATTCAAAATGGCTTCAATCTTGGAATGATCAACTGAAACTCCTCCGGAAACAACATGCCCCAAAAACTTCACTTCTGACAACCAAAACTCACATTTCTCATTCTTCGCATACAACCGATGCTCTTTCAGAATTTGCAACACTATTCTTAAATGCATCTCATGCTTCTCCTTAGACGGTGAGTACACTAATATGTCATCCACGAACACAACAACAAACCTATCAACATAAGCGTGGAAGACATTATTCATTAAGTCCATAAACATCGCCGGTGCGTTTGTCAAACCAAATGGCATGACTAGGAACTCATAATGACCGTACCGTGTACAAAAAGCGGTCTTCAAAATGTCTCCTTCCTTTACCCTCAACTGGTAATAACCATATCTCAAGTCGATCTTCAAAAAACAACAAACGCCTTTTAATTGATCGAGCAAGTCATCAATCCTAGGCAATAGATCGATACTTGTTCTTGATGGTGGCATGATTCAACTTCCGATAATCTATGCACAACCTCAAAGTACCATCCTTCTTCTTTGCAAAAAAAATTGGTGCTCCACACGGGGAAGCGCTAGGTCGAATGAAACCCTTTGCCTTCAAGTCATCCACCTGCTTCTTCAACTCCTCCAATTTCGTCGATGCAATACGATACGACACCATAGAAATGGGTGATGTACCAGGCATGAGATCAATAGCAAACTCCACTTCTCTATGTGGCGGTAACTCTGTCGAGTCTTCAGGAAACACATCCAGAAAGTCGCACGCAACTGCTGGATAAAAATCCCCGCAAAACTCGTCATCATCTGCTAAAAGACTTACCAAAAAGAAATCATGCTAATCACAACCTCTAATGCCGTAGAATGAAGAAATGAGGGAATCGCTCCAATCTCCCACAAAGCAAAAGCAATCTTCTTCCGAAGTACAAACAAATACCCTGCCCTTGAAACAATCTATAACCGCCCAAAAGGATGACAACCAATCCATCCCAAGAATGACATCAAAACCCATCTCTCGAGAAGAATGAGATCAAATTAAATGTCCATCTCGCAATCGCAATGGTGCAACTACGACAAACTCTATCAAGGACAACCGAACCTCCTGGCATATTGACACAAAATGGCCTATCCAACTAACTAACATCTAATCCTAATGTACGTTTTGCGTGTGCCTCGTTTATGTGCCTTGTTTTGCGTATCACGTGGGCCCTGGGGCCCGTTTTGGTCATTTTCTTGAGCCGAGGATTTTATAAGTTCATTTTAATTATTTTAAGTTAATTAGAGGTAAAGGGATTGATTTTACAATCTTTTGAAAGTCGGGACGATTTTCGGGCTCGGGGAACTTCTCCCGATTTGCATTGAGGGGCATTGTGGTCTTTTCACACACACACACACACACACACACACACACACACATATATATATATATGTACGTATACATTGGGAGATATATTAGGGATAGGTTTGGTATTGTAAAGGAAGAGCAAGGGCAAGATGATAACTTGACCGCATGTTAGTATCCATTCATGTGTTGACAAGTGGCCCAAGGAGAGCCATTCAAAAGTTGGCAAGACCAAACCAAACCCTCCTTCTCCTGTTCATTCGGGCATCTCTTCTCTCTCTAACCCCTATCTTTCTCTCACTATATCTATCTATATACATCTTTGTCTTCCATAGAAAAAGCTTGGATTTGAAAGGCTTTGAGTGTGAAATTAATGAAACCATAGAAGGGAAAGTTAGAGAGCTTAGAGAAAGCTTCCATTTGACATCCACCTTACAAGGGGTTAGAGATTTCAAAAATTAAGGCTTGCATAAGGCCTTGTTTGGCTAAATCTGCTTTAACACCTTTTGATTTTGTTCATTCAAATGTGTGGGGTCCTTGCCCAATTACTTCTAGTCTTGGATTTCAATATTTCGTGTTGTTCATTGATGATCATAGTCGTGTTACTTGGGTTTATCTTATGAAAACCAAAAATAAGGTATACACCATTTTTAAAACATTTATGATAATGGTTCAAACTCAATTTGGTCGTACCATTAAAAAATTTCGATCTGACCAGGGTACAGAGTACACTTATGGGGAGGTACAACGGTTATGTACAGAATTTGGGATTGCGCATCAGCTGGCTAATGTTAAAACTCCTCAACAGAATGGTCGTTCTGAGAGAAAGAATCGCCACATCCTTAACTTAGCCAGAGCAATCTACATTGGCATGAATGTTCCCCAGTCATTTTGGGGAGATGTAGTTCTTACCGCTGTTTACATCTTTAATAGGACTCCTTCTAGGATTCTTAACTTTGCAGCCCCACTCTCAATCTTACATCCCAATTCATCTCTATTTTTGATTCCTCCACGAGTCTTCGGGTGTGTGTGCGTTGTTCAGCAGTTGGGCCAAACTCGTACAAAACTTGACCCCAAGGCTTTGAAGTATGTGTTTTTTGGCTATTCTCACACTCAAAAAGGTTATAGGTGTTACCATCCTCCCAGTCGTCGGCAGTTTATATCCATGGATGTTTCTTTCTTTGAGCATACACCATACTATAGTGGATTAGTTGGTTCTCAGAGTGAATGATTCCCATTGAATATAATGGATGATCACCTTCTTCCGTCTTCAACTCCTCTACCATTACTTGTTTCTTCTTCTATAATTCCTCCTCATGATACCCCTCCCGCAGCGGGAATTGTTCCTTTTCCACAGGTTTATAATCAGAGACAATAGGTACAAGCTTCTACTCCCACGATTGACTGCCCTGTTCCTTCGGCACCAGCTCCGCCTTCTTAAGATATTGTTTCGCTTGTTGATCGCCCCATTGCTCTTCGAAAGGATAAACGTTCTTGTACTTACCCTATTTCTAATTTTGTTTCTGATTATGCTCTCTCACCCTCTTATCGGAGTTTTCTTGTTTCTGTTACCTCGGTTCCTATTCCTTCCAGTGTTGCAGATGTGCTAGCACAACCTCAATGGCGTGATGCTATGACAGAAGAACTACAAGCACTTGAGAAAAATCAGACTTGGGACATGGTTCCGCTTCCTATTAGACGAAAGGTTATGGGTTGTCGTTAGGTGTTTACAGTCAAGCATAATCCAGATGGGTCAGTTGCTCGTTACAAGGCCCGATTGGTTGCCAAGGGTTATGCTCAGACTTATGGCATAGATTATCAAGAGACTTTTGCCCCTGTTGCCAAGATGAATACCATCTGTGTATTATTTTCCGTTGCTGCAATTCGATCTTGGCCTCTATTTCAGTTAGATGTCAAGAATGCCTTTCTTAATAATGATGCAGCTATTCAGATTCTTCGCTACTTAAAAGGGTGTCCAGGCCGTGGTATTTTGTTTGCTAATCATGGTCACTTACATGTTGAGGCTTGGACAGATGCTGATTATGCAGGATTAATTTTAGATAGGAGGTCTACTTCAGGATATTGTACCACTATTGGTGGTAACTTGGTTACTTGGCGCAGTAAGAAGCAGGATGTTGTCTCTCGATCTAGTGCAAAGGTAGAGTATAGGGTTATGGCTCTTGGGGTAGGTGAGTTGCTTTGGCTGAAAACCTTGATGACAGACTTGTGCCTTCTAGTGTCGCTTCCATTCTCACTCTACTGCGACAACAAGTCTGCCATTAGCATAGCAGCAAATCCTGTTCAGCATGACAGGACTAAGCATATAGAAGTGGACCGTCACTTCATTCGAAAGAAGATCATCTCTGGTCAAATTTGCACTCCATTTGTCACAAGCTCTCAGTAGCTTGCAGACATTCTTACAAAAGGCGTCAGCAAGATTGTGTTTGAGAATGCATTGTCCAAGTTGGGCATTTTAGATATCCACGCACCAACTTGAGGGAGAGTGTTAGCATTTATGATACCACGATTTATGGTATAACTTACCATAATAGCCGAGATATGATAGGCCCAAATCATGGGATGTGATTTACAATATTATCTGTGAGATATGATAGCCACTAATCATGTATTTGACTTTATTTACGCATATGTCTAGGCATGGAATATGCAATGATTTGATTTTGTTTCCTTTCTTATAATATGAGCATGTGCTCATTTTATCTATAAATACTAGAGCTGTGAATGGGTAATTCATCTCATTCAAGCCTTTATGCAATTCTCTTTTTTCTCTTCTTTTTATATTTCTACTGTTAGAGATTTCAAAAATTAAGGCTTACATAAGGCCTTGTTTGGCTAAAACACCTTAAGGTAGGGGTTTCCTAATGCTCTAAATTTTGTCTTTGATCCAGCAAATTGCTATAATTTATTCTATTCTCATCAATGCCAAATTATGAAATAAGGAGGCTATGTGTTGACATTTTGAAAGCATGTTAGTGTGTGAAGTATTAATGTGTTTAATTTCATGCTAAAGATATGTATAACATGGCCTTGGTGCAAAAATTGTTTAATTGTTGATTATAGCATGACTTTGTTGGTATGAATTACATGGGAAGTATGCTTGTGATTATAGTATTAAGAATGTTATACTTTTACTTAAATTATAAAGAATGACATGTTGAAGTCTTTGCTATTGTATAGTTGTGAATTGAAGTTGAATTGATGTAATTAATGCATATGCATGGCATGATAGGAATTTTGAATGAGAAAGACAATGGACCATTTTAGAATGGTGAGAAAATGGAAAGAGATTGACAAGTTAGTCATCCTAGGATGGGCGGAAAAAGAGGAATTTTAAAAATGGACTAGGTTTCGCGAGCCTAGTGCTCACTCGACCTAGAGGGGGCGCGGTCCGGTGTATGACTTGAAAAAGTTGATACTAGGCCCCAAATGGACAAGAGGCCAGGGATAGTGTCAATCCCAGATCGGTAAAGTCGGTTAGTGTAGGTGGGAATTGGGGTCGGTTTGAGACCAAGTTTGGGACTAGGTATGCATTGCATTTGCATTTATGGTATGCAAAGTTATATTTATGCCCTTGATTGGAGTGGAATGTGGTTTAAATTTCGTAAAATCCCCTGTGTATGATCCTGATTTCCTTTTATTCCTAACGTGTGTTGTGTGGCTCAAGGGAGTCCAAAGTTGGTGCTTTAGGCATCTTCTACTGAGCCTATGTGCTCACCCCTTCGATTAACATTTTCAGGCTATGGCAATGGCGTGATTGTAAACGGACCCTCATAAGTGTAGTTAGGGTTGACAGAAGCATCATTTTGCATTATCTTGTATTAGACGCTTAAGTTGAAGTAAATTCAAAAGCGATTTAAAATGGTTAAAACTGACTTTTAACACTTCTAATGCACGCCTTGTACGGGCCATATAGACTATTTTACCCTTGAGTGTTTCCAGGTCGGGTCAGGACCCAATTAGCTATCCGGACCCCCGCGTTTGGGTCATTACAATACCCCTGACAACTAATGACCTAGATGATGGCTCAACTGGAATAGTAATTGGAGTAACCGTATACACTCAACCTTAGGTCCTCTTCCCTTGAGAACTGTCGACATGATAGCCTAACTGTTGTGTAGGTGCCACTAGATGGAGCTCATCTAGCCGGTCGAGAGCCTTGAGATGTCATAGCTGGCTATGGTGGTGGCAGCGATAGTCGGCACCCTGAATAAACTGTGGTGGACTATGTCTGCCTCTGCTGTAACCCCTTGCCACTGATTTCACTACCGCTCCAACGCGGACAATCCTTTACCATATGGCCCTGCTGGCCACACCCAAAGTGACCTCCCTGGACTGACTGAGTCTATGGGCACTGTGCCTTGTAGTGCCCAGACTGCTTACACTTGAAACATATCACCTTCGGTCTAGAAGATCCAATAGAAATTATAATTGCTGTTGCGAATCTAGCAGTCTGATGCCCTGAAAATCCGATGACCCACCCTTGTGCTTCTTCTTTAACTGGCTCTCGAAAGTGGCACCCATTCTCCTACCTTGCATGTATGACTCTTGTATAGCTCATCTATCCTTGCTTTCCGCCTCAACAACTAAGGTCTTCCTCACTGCCCTTGCGTATTCCGTCAACTCTGTTGTAGCCATTGCCGACCCAATAG